TGGTTAGATTAGTGATGGGTTAGATTAGCATTAAGTTAGCATTATGGTTAGATTAGTGATGGGTTAGATTATTAACATTGGTGAATGCCACAAATTCTCCTAAATCACTCGTACGCACAACTTAAGAACAAATCTGTGCGTACGAACGGTTCTTGCATGAGGCCCAATGTCTTAGAACTTCTGCAGCTCATCTCTGTACTTCTTTAYGAATTTCAATCTGGCCTTCCGATTCTTACTACTTCTTATTCAGGACATTCCAAACTTTTGTGCTCGCTATGTCCAATGTTTGTCCGATGGCTCCGATTGATTTTCCCTTTTTTCTCAGCTTTTCTCCTATAGACAGCTCTCTGGTCTTCATGTTGKTTTATCCTCTTACTTTATAGTTTTAAACCCAGAGTGATTTCATGTTTGAACAATCAACCTTAAAGGCAACACCAGGGGCCTCATGTGTAAACGGTGCGTAAGTATAAAAAAGTTACGTGCTCCAGGTTCTACGACCACGTTGGGATGTATCAAAACCAACGTTGCATGATTTACGCACACTTTTCACCTGTCGTGAGAATGTGCGGCAGCCACGCAAAATTTTTCAGTCGACAGCTTTAAACCACAGAGTTGAATCCACAGAAATATGACTTTGTTGTGTTTTCTGGATGTAAGGAGCATGTGAACACGGTGTCAGATTTTTTTTAGTTTGAGTTTTTATTGTTTAAACTCGAACGATCATAAAACTGAACCCCGGGTCTGAAAATCATTTAACCTCAGACAAGAAAATAGATCAGCCTAAAAATGATCAAAAGAACCTCAGTCCAGTCGTAAACTGTTTTTATATTCTTGTCACATATTGAAAACCTTTTGGGTCCTGCGGGCCGGAAAAACTCGACACATTACATGCAGCATAAAAAAAAAATAAAATAAAAAAGGCTGAAGAGAGGGAACAAAATCAGATGCAAATGGTGGCTCACTGTACGGTAATAATAATAATTTTTTTCTGTGTGTAGTCTTCTGGCTGATGCTGAGTTGAGTTGTGGCCGCAGAGCAGCAGCTGCTCTTTGGGTAGATTCTCGTGCCAGGCGCGCGTGCACCCTCGCCAGCTGGGAAGGTGTTCATATATGTCAACCCCTTTGGACATTTATCTGTCTAATGAGCCACAAAAATCTATAGTTTTTGCTAAAAATCCGTAGGCTACCACTCGTACCCGCGCGTGGGGGTGGGGGTCTGTACGTGGAGATGACAGTGCCTAATGCAGGAGCAAAAGAGAGCAGAAAAAGTGGATAACTTGATGTTTTTTTATTTTTTTTAAATGTCCGTTCAACACCGTGTTCAACTAAATAGACAACAACTAACCAGCTTCAACATCACATTCGGGAGATGTCTGTAAATTTCAGGAAAATCTCAGGCTTTGGTTATCCCATGTGAATGCTCCACATAAAACAATGACACCCCACTATGTATTTAGACAGTTTTCTCACTCTCTACATTTGATTTAYATTTTTCCTGCATCTAAAAATCATTTCTGATCCCACAGAGAGGAATCGGAGGAGAATCTCACACGCTGGACACATTTACATCTATTTTACATATTTAAATGGAGGCTTGTCAGAGGAGGTGTCTCACGTGCGCTAAGTTCCACGTTCATTGGGATGTATAAAGGAAAGGTGCGCAGGAACATGCGTGCGTTTGGTTTTATACATCTGAATCTTTTGTTGCTGCGCACTTTTCTAAATTTTTCTGTACGTCAACTTTTAGTGTGAAAGCTTCRCAATCCTTTATGCATGAGGCCCCTGGTCAGTAAGAAACACCTTTCAGTCATATGTTCCAATAATTCTGATCACTTGAAAAATGGGTAAGTTTAAACAAAGGGTGATATGTTCTGAGTTGTTTAACACATCTAAATAAATAGCAGGAAATAAAAGCTAAAATTCTGAACTCTTGTCTCATGTTTGTCTTTTAATCTTAAACCCAAATGTCTTCAGTGTACAACACTTTGACTTGCTGTTTCAGTACTTCTGAAGGGGACTGTATACATGCGCACCAAGTTTTTAAATGTTAAAATGAAAACTTCCTTTTCATTCATGTCAGATTCATAAACTCTCCTTCATGCTTTGCACCAGGGACGTGAACACCACCATCATGGAAATGCTCATCATGGTGTACGCCTGCAGGACGTCGTGCGCTCGCAGCATCACCGGAGTCCTCCCTTACTTCCCCTACAGCAAGCAGTGTAAGATGAGGAAGAGGGGCTCCATCGTCTCCAAGCTTATTGCCTCCATGATGTGTAAAGCTGGTGAGTGGCAGAGGATTGCACCGGCGGACGTTTTATCTTTTGCATTTGATCTGATGGTACGTTTGTGTAGGGCTCACTCACCTGATCACCATGGACCTCCATCAGAAGGAGATTCAGGGCTTTTTCAACATTCCTGTGGACAATCTGAGAGCTTCTCCCTTCCTGCTTCAGTACATACAGGAAGAGGTAAAAAGGAACTTATAGCTACAGTCAAAATTTTCATCCACTAATCACCAGACATGAATTCTCAGTCCTACTCTCCCCGGCTCTTCATTGCCGCCAATCTCCATTCAAATTTCGCCTCTTTTTATTTTCTTCTTCCTGTAGATTTTTTACTGCTTGTCAGATAACTTTGAGCCTCAGTCAGAAAGGACATCTGGGGG